GTATAAGAGACAGTGACACGCTTCCATCCATCCCTCTGCTTCATTAAAATTTTCCTCATCTGGTGTTATTTCAAGTAACTCCATATGTGCGGATTCAATAGTCGCATACGCTTCTCTGTACAAAGCAAGTTTTTTCTTCAAAAGCTCCACATCTCCATCCGGAACTATGGAAGCTTGTAGGGCTTTCAAGCGCCGTGTAGTTACACTCTTTGCATTTCTTCGCTTTATTTTTGCTTTAGTCCTTTCTTCATCCATATTATTTGTTGCCATGTTTTAAAAATAAACCTCGCTCTGCTACCATCTGTTCGCGAGACAAAGTAAAGGAACTCAGCTTTTAAGGCTCAAAATTCACAATTTATTTTCACTCAATTTCACAGGTTACAATTCACAATTTGTTGATACTTCATGTAATTATTCACTAAATTCGCTGGTATCGCTATTCACTTAATATTCAACTTTGTGTTGACTCCTCAAATTCTCAATTCTAACTTCACTTGTTAATTCACATTAATTCCGCTTGGTTTCTAATTCTTGGTTAATTTCGAGTTAGTTCTCGAGTTAATTCTCGTTAGTTCTGATTCATTTGGTCACTGGTTCACATTTTGTTACACATCTGTTACCTCCCATTTTCTAATACTAACCTATCACAGTGACACTTTTCTCATCAGTGGTATTTAAAATTCTCAGTATTTGATAATTAATTGACTATTTTTTGGGTTCAACTACCTTTCTTTAACTCCTAGTCATTACCTACAGTAACCACACATTAATTTATTGTTTAGAAATGTACATTCTTCCAGTCTAACTGGTGCCACTATTCTAAGTTTCACTTTAATCTTAACCACGTATTCCCTATGGAATCTTCCCATTTCCTCCTTTAATGGTTTTACTTAATTTTTGTTTATAAATTTCTCTTAATTATAATTCCTCCTGAACAATAGGCCTACACTATTTTAATTAACTCATCCCTGAATCCATACACCTAATTTAATATAAAATTATTTTTGTTAAATTACCTTTAATTAACTTCATTAAATTACCTTTCTGCATATTATCTTAATTTTATTATTATTTTGATATTTTTTTTAAATTTTATACTGGTAGTGAAACTACACCCCACCTTAGGTCTGGGCTATACAAGTTTTACACCAGCAATATGATATCTAATTTAAAGGGACAAAGAATTGATACATTACTGAAGTAAATTTATGTAAATTTTCTAGACAAAAACATCAATATTATTATTGAAAATAATATTATAGTGTTGTAAAGCATTCCATAAAATGTATGGTAGTCCAAAAAAAAAAAAAAATTTACATTAAGACAATTAATTATAGGCCTACACTATTTTAATCAACTCATCCCTGAATCCATACACCTAATTTAATATAAAATTATTTTTGTTAAATTACCTTTAATTAACTTTATTAAATTAACTTTCTGCATATTATCTTAATTTTATTATGTTTTAAATTTTTTTTATTTGATACTGGTAGTGAAACTATACCCCACCTTAGGTGTGGGCTATACAAGTTTTACACCAGCAATTACAAAGTGTGGTCAGATGTGTGAAGGTAACGACTATTTAAAAATACCTTAAATCATGCAAGTAATTATAATACCTTAAAGACATTTTTACGACCAGATAGTGGATGTGTGCGATCAACTCTCATGGTTGTCAATGACTTCTCTTGGAACTGACTGAACCAAGTTCGTGCCCCTTCTTCAGTTGATATAGGCAGTCTTAGTGATATACAAGAGATGTTGCCGTTTTGTACAGTGTAATTACACAAGCAGTATTTATAATTTGGAGGAAGAAATGCCTAGAAAAAAATAAGCCATATAATGATAGAAAAGTTATATTTTCTTAGTAAAACAATGATTACATTTTATAAAAAAAAAATAAATTAAATAATTCACTCACTCAAAATCTGACATTATTATGCACTTTTAATTGGCCTAATGAAAATCATTTAAATAGAAAATAATGTTCAGTAGAGATTATTATCACTGATTATATTAAGTGTATAGTTTGGTTGTATACATACTTATACAGTAATATAATTATAACATAAGCAATGACCAACGCCTAGACGAACATACATAGGCGTATAGACAAATACTGTACTGCAATAATTTAAACACAGAACACAGCAACAACCTGCCTATTAGTATTAAATTAGGCCAAGAATAATAGAACTAGGGACTATTCTAGGCCTATAGATCCGAAGATAGTTCTAGGCGGACTCTGACCACTCATTGCTTTCCTAGGCTACAAAAGGCATAGGTCTAGGGCCTAGCATCATAGGCTTGTAGTAGTAGTAGTAGTTTTGGAAAATGCCTCTGGGTATTAAATAAATGTGATGATGATGATGATGGTTATGATGACGATATATACTATGAAGTTTTTGCTACTCGTTTGTGTAGGTTACTTACCATAAACTTGAGGTACGCTTCGCATGTCAATGGCTCTGCATCTTCGTTGCAGACAGTGCATCTTGTCAATTCTGTTGACTGACCATCGTGTTCATCTTCTCTCACGCAAGAATCCATTTTTTTCTCGACTCGCGAATCGTAATCAGCAGAGAGCGATTAGAAGTTGTGTCTGAAGTCTGATTAATTATTCAATAGTTATCTGACGTCATTTTAGGCTTCCTACATTCTGATTGGCTAAAAGAAACATATATTTGCTTATGTGTACTGCAGAAAAAAAATACGCGTCCGGGGAAGGTCGAGTAGAGAGCATGTCGTTTTCGCTCAAACCGGACGAACAGACGCGAAGCGTTCAAAGGCACATGTTCACGGCCACAAGCAGGACCACCACCGACTGCGTCTCGATTTTCTTTACCGATGGATACGCGAGAGTCGCCGTGGACGCGGGTTCCGGACTGATGTTTCTCAACAGCGCAAATCGTCTGCTCACCGGTCGGTGGAACGAGGTTCGATTGCTGTTCGAAGAAAGCTCGATGCAGGTTGCGATAGGAGAAGAAACGAGCGAGAAGAAAATGCTGGAAGGCACGTTCACGCATCTGAACCAAACTCCAAATCGAACGGAACGACTCGGGGCCTCGAAGGATGCGTTACTCCTTTGGTGGTCAACGCCGGTCGACCGATCGCACCGACAGGACATTCTTTCTGCCAAGTGGCGCCGGAGACCCCACCGCGGATCTCCTATCGTCTGACAAACGACACCGGGATGCACGCGATGCCATCGTACGATCGCATATACAGTCTCTCTTTTTGATCAAGCCCGAAAACTCGGACGGGCACGTGTCCACAGGGAAGGGACACACCGACTCCCTCTCGATGTTGCTCTTTGACGGCCGCGCGGGCATCTACGTGAACACGGGTTCCGGAGCGGATTTCTACGACAGCGAAATTCCGCTGCGAATGAACGAATGGGACCGAGTTCGGATAGGATTCAGCGAAGGCTTCATGCACTTTTCGGTCGGTCGCGGTCAAGAAGAATGGAAGAAGCTGGCAGGTCGGTACACCGACCTCAATCTGGGCGACAGCTACTCCGTGGGATTATACGAAGGTCTCGGCAGCACCCGCGGATGCATTTCGGAGCTCGAGGTGAACGGTCAACCGGTACAACCCACCGGTCTGGCTCCTTGCAACGCCCTGGACCCGAGATTGGTGGTTGTCGCGAAATCCGATCCATCGACCACGGAGGCATCGCCTGATAGTAGAAAGATCAGAATCGGATCGGGCACGTGCTCTTATTTCGTGGTTCCGCAAGACGAAGCGACGAGCTGCCATTCTTGGAAGTGACGTTCTCGTACTGTTTGTAATGTTCAATAAGATGTCAATGCGCAAGTGATAAAAAGTTTGAAAAATACGTTTTCTGTAATAAACCGATTTATAATTAAAATAAAAGCCTTTATTGCTATCTTGTCGTGGCTCTTATTACCTTGTGTGTAATTAAAGAATTTGGGTTTTAAATACAATGTATACAGTGGTAAGAATAACACAATGAATACACTACGGAAATGTGAGATATATAACATGGGAACGGGCATGAAATGCGCCACACCAGTATTTCTTTTTATAAGCGCCGCTCTTGAATAAGCACCGCACTGACGCCTCTAAATATGTTATAAGGGCCGCAGCGCTTTTTAAGCTTTTACAGTATAAAGACAATTTATATTCCTAAATAAACAAACGTGTTAAAAAGTTGTATTTATATATCTTATTATTTAGTTGACATTTATTATTTAGTTGAAAACTGTATACATGACTTTTCTCATAATTCACTGTTATTAGTGTTAATATTTTTGATAATTAAAATTGATTTATTTTAAAAACAAATGAAAATGTTTCTTTCACCACCCTGAAGCAAACCTATCATCTCCTTATTAGGTTGAACTTTAAACAACATCAACAAATGGAATACATTAAAACATAAAAAAAAAAAAAAAAAAAAAAAAACGAAAAAAGGCAATTCAGTAGCCACATGTACCTTTTAGGTACCTATTGTTCAATTAGTGGACGCTTGGCTTAGCCTCATTTTTTCGTCACCACGACGAAGACATCGCACACCGCGATAAAAACTGAATTGTAATTGAAAATTACTTTCGTAAAACAAGCTTAATTAGAACCCGAAGAAAGTTATTTCAAATTCAATATTAGGTATGAATAACTAAGGAATTCATTGAATCAACGGACCCTCATAAACACAACAAACTGAATGTTTAATAGGAATATTCTAGACCTATTTAGATGTAGGCCTACGGCCAGGAAAGAGGCCGCCCAGGCCTCCTACCACTACTAGGCCGTAGCCTAGCCTATTTATGAAATCATCGCACGATTTTACCTGTCTTCATGCACCGAGCAAAAAGGACGACAGTGACTGTATTCTCTCTCGAATGCTGAAATGTTATTTCTTTGACGAAAGTCTATCAAAATAGAAAACAAATTCTTTCTAACACAATACAAATTTACAATAGTTTTTCATCGTATAAGTACTGTACTGCTGATGTGTATTTAAACGCGTACTGCAGGAGCAAAAATCATCATACGCACAGCTAAATGTAAATACGCACACGTATACTGATACTACCGACAATCGACAGACGGCGCTCACATAGAGCCGACATGGATTCGTCGAAACACACATGACTGCGTCGTACGATGCAATGAGTGCCCCGCCCCACTCAGTGGGGTCAAGTGCTATTAAGGAATTATTCATAAACAGGCAGATGTGTATAAGAGACAGGTTCAAGAGTGGATTCAAGGGGGCTAATCCTGCCCAATCCCACCTACATTTTTCGAAATAAAAAAAAATATGGAGATTAAAAAAAGTGATTATTTGATGATTATACGTTTTTATGATTATTTCACAGATATTGATATGCAAATAAGCTGATATGTGTCGAGAATTGGGCGTATCGCAATATAAGCTGCCAAATGTATTGGAAATTCCCAAATTACTAAACATTATCGTATTATTATTTCTTTTCTTAAGCCTAAAATAGGAGGCTAGTAGTAAGGGATAGTGAATTTAAATATCCCTGCACTAAGGTAATAGAGCGCCAGGGAGGTTCTATTATGGGGACCCACTATGACACTCAAAGTAGGGAGCCTCTTGACAATTCTAAATACCTACGCACTTCGCCTCTAAGCCAGAGACCCGACAACTTCCCACACATGATGGCGTCAAAGGTTGTTCATCTATGTCTAAACTAGGATATGCCGAAGTCCATGGGTTTCCAATCAAGATAAAATGGCTTCTTTTCGAGACAGTACTTACGTTGTAACTAAATGTCAAAAATTAATCAATTGAATATACACAGTTTATTATATGTAATGTCAGTTAGTATGCCATAGAAACTAATGTTATCTTAAATAATTATAAAAGCATGTCAGTATTAATATATTTTATTGTAGCATGGTTAATTTTTTTTTCGATTATTTGAAGATTCTACGTTTTTATGATTATTTCACAGTTAATGATATGCAAAGAAGCTGATATTTGTCGATGCTCATATTAAAATGGGCGTAACGCAATATAAGCTGCCAAATGTATTTTAAATTCCCAAATTACTAAACATTACCATATTATTTCTTTCATTTGGCGTTGCTTTACTTTGCTGTTCAAATCGTTTTTATTCACCTGTTGTATCATTACTAAAAAGCGAATATAACTTGAGGTAAGATCATTTTCAATACGGTAGGTAAAAGCATTATCGTTTATGACTGTATAAAGAATGAAATGCGACGAAGCGCGCGCGAGGTATCGTTCAGACTACCGACAATCGGCAGACAGCTCGTCCAAATTAGCGCTCACATAGAGCGGACATGGATTCGTCGAAACACTGCGTCGTACGATGCAGTGAGTGCCCGCCCACTCAATGGGGCGATTTTTTGATGGTTCTACGTTTTTATGATAGTTTCACAGTTATTGATATGCAAATAAGCTGATATGTGTCGATGCACATATTGAATTGGGCGTCTCGGAATATAAACTGCAAAAGGTATTGGAAATTCCCCAATTACCGATACTAGACATTATCATATCATTATTTCTTTCATTTGGAGTTGCTTTCCTTTGCTGTTCAAATCGTTTTTATTCACCTGTTTTTATTATTACTAAAAAGCGATTATAACTTGAGGTAAGATCTTTTTTAATACGATAGGTAAAAGCATTATCGTTTATGACTGCATAAAGAATGAAACGCGACGAAGTGCGGGTGAAGTATCGTTCAGACTACCGACAATCGGTCAACTTTCGTCGACACACACTGTGTCGTACAATGCAATGAGTTGCCCACCCCACTCAGTGGGGCGAGTATTGATGATTCTACGTTTTTATGATTATTTTACAGTTATTGATTTACAAATAAGCTGATATGTGTCGATGCACATATTGAATTGGGTGTCTTGCAATATAAGCTGCTAAAGGTATTGGAAATTTCCAAATTACTAAACATTATCATATCATTATTTCTTTCCTTTGGCGTTGCTTTAATTTGCTGTTCAAATCGTTTTTATTCACCTGTTGTATCATTACTAAAAAGCGATTATAATTTGAGGTAAGATCATCTTTAATACAGTAGGTAAAAACATTATCATTTATGACTGTATAAATAATGAAACACGATGAAGTATCGTTCAGACTACCGACAATCGGCAGACGGCTCGTCAACTTAGCGCTCACATAGAGCGTCGTACAGTGCAGTGAGTGCCACACGCCCCACTCAGGGTGGGGGGTCAAGTGCTATTAAGGATCTATTCATATATACGCCTAAAAATAATAAAAATAATTTCCAACTTAATTTCTAAAGAAAAACAAAACGGCCAATGGCCCCTCAATAATACTTAGGGTTTTAAGTTTTCATAAATATACTTTGTATAAACAAGCCATTATGTAAATATATTTCAGCAGCAGATCAAGTAATGTTATTTGATAATAAAACATCACAGACAACTGATGCAAATATAGGCTATATACAAAATAAATTATTGTACCTATATAATAATTGCCTTCATATAACACTAGAAAACGAAGTGTCCAAAAACATTATCGTTTATGACTGTATAAAGAATGAAACGCGACGAAGCGCGC